GACCGCCCGCAGCCCCCGCTGCCGCTGCCGCCGCCGCCGCCGCCGCCATCGCCGCTCAGACTGGGGCCCGCCGCCCGGCGATTGGAGAGTTGCGCCGGCCACGCCGAGGATTCATTAGTCAAGCAGCCTGCCTGTCACCAAGAGCTAGGACTCCATTGGGGAATATTACTTGGCAATCAAGTAAGACCCCACCTCTAAGGCGGGTTATTGCGCCAAATTCTCAAATCCCGGTAGGAGAAATCTGTCTGTCAATCAATACGCGTCCCACCTCTTCTCGAGTCCTTAGGTAACAATACGACCAGACTGTGACGACATTCCTGTTTCTACCCCGCCTATAGGCGGGCCCGCGAAGTATAGGACGCTCAGTGATTGGCCCCTGGCTAGGCGACTGGAAAGGACCAGTCTTCCTGTCGCCTTACCGCAGTGGCCCAGTCTCAGACGCCGGTTGGCTGGCGAGATTCGAAGGGCTGACGTCCGTTTCGTGACAGGTGAACCCTGTCCCCGAACGGTCTGCGGGGCTACAAGTTAGGGAAATCCGAGGTCACATGACTAGTCAGGCCTTAGGGACCGCCATCTTTATACTACTGTTGGCCAACTAGTGAGCTAATTGTTAGGGCAGAGGCCCGAAACAGAATGGCGGTTTCTGGAAACTGGTCTCCTGCCCAGGAAACACCACTAGGTGGGATGTTGCCGAAAATGGAGGTCCTAAATGGAGTAATCCAAGAAGGAGCTTACTTTGCCCATCCAGGTTATTGGCACCACCATCCACCAGGTCTTCCAAACCAGCAAGTTGAGAGGAATCCTCACTCCAGAGCTACCAGTCACGAGTCCTATCTGTCCTGTCTTCCTGCGTAGACCTTTTGTAGGCCCTCCTCTCCTGCCCAGTTTCAGCCTGTTTGTTCTCTTGCCTGTCCAATCCGCACTGCTACCAGACTGACTCCTCTTTGTTGGCCAGGTAAAGTCTCAAAACTCCTTACTGTGGCCTTAGACACCCCAGTACCTGGCTACTTCACGAATGTCGTTTTCGCACTCCTTGTTCCAGTGGGTGTACCTGAACCCAGTCTACCTTTGTACATGCAGTCCCTCTTCAACCAGACCACTGCAAACTCCATCCTCCCCTACTTTCCCGCAACACTTGAGCCTACCTCCACTGTGGGCTTAGTGGTTTTGTGCTGCGTTTCCTAATTAGGTTGTGAGCGCGGGCAAATGAGGTGCTGGATCTTATATTTGGATTTGCACCGCTGGACAATAGGCCTAGCACATTGTTTATTGACCAAAGATGCCTTGATTGGGGATTTGGGTACCACTCTTCATCATCATCGCTTTCCCAGCCCGCAAGCCCACCTTCAGACCTCAGAGGAATTTCTTTCCACCGGCTGCACCCACAGATACCAATGAGACCTGGCCCAGGAAAGCAGGGTTGCCATATGGAATGGAAGGAAGGAATGGCGGTGCTAAGTTTGCAAGAGGATTTTTGTAGGCAGACCAAGCTACACTTTGATAGCCACATTTCACGGGGCAGGGGTGTCTGGACAAAAGGAGATGCCTACTAGCAAACCATAATGTCACAAACGACTCATTATACCCCACTCTTTCCCTCGCCCCCACTTTTCCTCACAATTCCTTACCTCAGGAACTGGGGTACTTAGAGCAGAGTCATAGTCGCTTAAAATTTCGCTGCAAATGTTCATCTTCCTTGGCTTTAGTGATCTGGGAGAACTAAAGTTGAGCACCAAAGACAAGCTCAAAATGATTGGGCTCCCTGGAAGAAAGGTCTTTTATACTGATCTTAACCTAATCAAAATGTGATTGTATCATTGGCACCTAATTTAATCAAACCATCTAATGGAAATGTGATTTTTTAATTTAATTTTATTCAAAATATTTTAAGCGGTTTGGATCCCCATACAGGCCAGCAGCCAAAATAAATAAATAAAATTTAACATTTACTTCTACATATTTGAGGAGTACAGTATGTTGTTTCAATACATGCATGTACTGCACAATGACTCACTTAGGGTAGATCTTAACCAAACAAGATTTGATTGTTTTATTGGTACCTAATTTAATCAGTCCAACTAAGGTAAATGTGATTTTAAATAATGCTTTTGAATCCTATTTCTGTTGAGACTTGATTTTTTAACAGGCACCACTCTTTATTATGTTACCTCATTGAATTCTCAACAACCCTTTGAAGTAAATATTTCTAAAACCATAACTATAAAGTCCAAAATGATAAAGTTTTGCAATGATGAATATGCTAATTACCCTGATTTGATCATCACACATTGTATACGTGTATTAAAATATAACTCTGTACCCCATAAATATGTACAATAAATACATATCAATTATAACTGTGTATCCAATAAATATGTACAATCAATACATGTCAAAAAATTATTTTTTAATTAAGTAACTTTATTTTTCAATAATTTTTTTTTAAAAAGGAAAGAAAACTGCATAAGGTCTGCTTTAATACACAAAAATTACATTATGTATGATGCTGAAAATTGGAAAACTAAATCCCAACAATAGACAAAAATTTAAGCAAACTATAATTATATCCAATCAAAGATTGTTATACACCTATTAAAAGGTTTACACATAGTGTGTGATAAAAATGCAAAAATAATTTTTGTTAGGCCAAAGAAACGATGTAAAATTGTATCTAAAATGTGATTACAGGGCCGGCTCGTGGCTCACTCGGGAGAGTGTGGTGCTGATAACACCAAGGCCATGGGTTCGGATCCCATATAGGGATGGCCAGTTTGCTCACTTCGGAGAGTGTGGTGCTGACAACACCAAGTCAAGGGTTAAGATCCCCTTACCGGTCATCTTTTTAAAAATAAATAAATAAATAAAGTATGATTACAACTATGTATTTACGATTAAAAAAAAAATACTTCGGCATGGGGGAGGAAAGGAACAAGAACCAATACTGTCTTTCTATTCTTTGGCTATAAGTACCAACAAACTTTTAAAATGTTGACATTCTTAACCCAGTAATCCTATTTCTTATAATCTTTTCTAAAGAAATAATCTAAAAAGTGAATAAATAGGGCTGGCCAGTTAGCTCAGTTGGTTAGAGCGAGGTGTTTATAACACGAAGGTAAGGGTTCAGATCCCTATCCGGAAAAAAAAAAAAAAATTGAATAAACATGTGTGAATGAATGTTTATCAAAGTGAAAAAATGTAAACAAATGTTCAAGTGGACATGAAAATTATTATACACACGTGTATGTAATTTTATATAGTCATGTCTTCAAAGCATTTTAATGACAAGGACAATGCTTGCAATGGTAAGTAGAACTGCAGTACACAAAATTGTATGTACAATATGATCATAAAATAGAAACACAGATAAAAGATAGGAAAGAAATATTCCAAAATGTTAATAGTAGTTCTCTCTAGGTAATAGGATTATGATTAATTTTCCTCTTTATAATTTTCTATCATCTAGAATTTTTCCATAGTGGTCACATATTTGTTTTAAAAAATCACTCAAACTTCCAAACTTTCTCTAATAGGCCTGATTACTTTACCAAAAAAACAAACACATTTAAAAAGATATTTGAATGATGAGTTGTAAAGTAAGATCCTTTCCTCTTAAACTGTAAACTGTAAAAGACAGGGACATCATCTTTTTTTTTTTGGCAGCTGGTGACCATCTTAACTATATTTGTATTCCCTTTGCCTATTACTCTTTGCTGAGTAAATGCTAACTGAATGAATAATAGAGAATATCAAAGAGATATGTTTTCCTCTGAGAATTAATTTTTTTTTTTTTAAAGATGACCGGTAAGGGGATCTTAACCCTTGACTTGGTGTTGTCAGCACCACGCTCACCCAGTGAGTAAACCGGCCATCCCTATATGGGATCCGAACCTGTGGCCTTGGTGTTATCAGCACCACACTCTCCCGAGTGAGCCACAGGCCGGCCCCAGATATTTGGCCTTAAGTAGTTTCATCTTTGTTTTTAACTCCTACTTTGAAATGCATCCAGGCTACAGTAATTCTCTAGAATCTAGAACTACATTGTTTATGGTGGCCCCTAGTTACACATGGCTATTGAGCACTCGAAATGTGAGTAGTCTGATTTGAGATGTGCTGAAAGTGTAAAATACACACCAAACTTCAAAGACACAGTATGAAAAAGATACTATGAAATAATTCACTGTTTAATAATATTAATTCTCATGGTGAAATAATTTTTTTATATACTAGGCTAAATAAAATATTATTAAAATTAGTTTACCTGTTTATTTTTGCTTTTTTAATGAGGTTACTAGAGAATATAAAACTACATTTGTGGTTTACATTATATTTCTATTGGACAATGCTGATATAGAACCTTGGCACCTTTATCATTTACTTACTTTTATTTTGGAGCAGATCCCAATTATTTTCTAACGTGGTCTAGCCCTATTTAACTTCCTAGGTCCACCCTTGCATGGAATTGAGGTAGCCACTTAAATGTAATGGAGCCTATGTTTGGCAGCTTAATTTCCATTCTGCTTGGTTAACTTTTTAGAACTTTGTAGCTGAAAAATTTGTTTTAATATACTGTACCAGAAATATGTGTTCATTATCAAAAAATCAGAAAATACTGACAGCAAAACAAAACGAAATAAAATCATCCATAAAATCCACCACCCAAGGGCTGGCCCATGGCTCACTCGGGAGAGTGTGGTGCTGATAACACCAAGGCTGCGGGTTCAGATCCCATATAGGGATGGCCGGTTTGCTCACTGGCTGAGCATGGTGCTGACAACACCAAGTCAAGGGTTAAGATCCCCTTACCGGTCATCTTTTAAAAAAAAAAAAAAATCCACCACCCAAGGGCTGGCCCATGGCCCACTCGGGAGAGTGTGGTGCTGATAACACCAAGGCTGCGGGTTCAGATCCCATATAGGGATGGCCGGTTTGCTCACTGGCTGAGCATGGTGCTGACAACACCAAGTCAAGGGTTAAGATCCCCTTACCGGTCATCTTTTAAAAAAAAAAAAAAAATCCACCACCCAGAGATAATCACTAATGATATTTTGGCATATACCCTTCCTGAAATTTTCAATATACAGATATAAAGAGGCACATTTTTAGCAAAATGGGATCATATTGTATATATTACTTTCTAATCTATTTTCTTTTTTACCCAATAAAATACAGAAAACGTTTTCGATGTCAATAAATATATTTTTCCAGTTTTTTCAGTTTTATTCCAAAAATCACCTTAGACGTGCGGCCTTCCCTGACCACTCAAAATTGAAATCTCTGTCTACATGTGTACGTATACCTTCCCATCCTCCTTCAATGAATTATTTTTCTTTATAGTATTCATCACCTTCTAACATGTTATGAAATTTATTTTTATTTTTGTTTACCTTACTAAAATGTAAGCATCATGAGGGCAGAAATTTGTGTCTGTCTGTCTGTTCACTTTACCTCGGTGCCTAGAGCTGTGCTTAACATACAGAAGATGCTTGAATATTTGCTGCAAGAATGAGTAATTGAATGAATAAACAACTACACAGCATTCTGTTATATTATGTTTTCTGGGTGAGTTTTGAAATAGTTAATTTATTTATATATCTCTTCTGTATCCACTTTTAAGGCAGCTTTTAAAGTTTTCGAAGGATCTGTTATTAAATAAAAACAATATCTACAGTCCATCCATTTGCTAGAAATTGTAACTGAATGTTGCCCAGTTTTTTCAAAAGTGCCATTTGGAGAAACTGATATTTGGAGAACTGTCTGAAGGAAACACAATCTATCTGTTAAACCAGACCATGATAGAGCAGCATATTTGGGCTAAATTGTGTTGATCCTGACAGAACAAGCTTAGAATCTTCTGAAACCCTATTTGGTGTTTATAGAAGAAATGGTGTTGCAAAACTCAACATCATATTTGCTGTTAGGTATTACAGAGGGTGATGTCCACTCTGTCATTCTGTGTCTTCTCAGAAAAGCCACAAAACTTTTTGCCCCTCTTGAACAACTGATAGGCTTTTATAAATCCTAAAAGGAATGTTAATCTCATTGTGTTTTCCAATTTGCTTTAGCTGCCAAGGTCAGAGCTGAATTCATAGCCTAGCTTTATTATTTGGAAATACTACTCATAGATAGAATGCTCTTCTGTGTGTTCATTCAATTTTCCTTTTACCCCCTTTTTTTTTTTTTTTTTTTTTTTTGCAGCTGGCTGGTATGGTGATCCAAACCCTTGACTTTTACCCCTACTTTAAAAATCTACATTTTCCTATTGTTTTGTTTTGTCCTTTATGTATTATAGTAAGATGTTGCAAATACTTTTTGGAACTAAGCAAATATCAATCAGTCAATCATTGAGTCAATCATGCTGCAGTGGAGATAAATGCACTAGCTATCATTCCCTTTCCCCTAGTGCACCAAGCCACTCTGATTTTGATATGGCTTCTCCTATAGATTTTTCTGTAGGTGGAGAATGGAAAAGCAACACTGATTCCTCTATATGATCATATGTCTCTTCATTTCACACATATACCCAGAAACCAATTTATCACACTGAATTATAGAAAGACTAGAAATTCCCACTTGAAATTTAAAATTAGGATCAATATTCCTGTCAAACATGATTTTAATGTGGTCTTAGACTAGAGGTACAGAGATATGGGCTGAATATTCCCAGAGATTCTAACCAGTTTAGCAGTTCGCACCAAAAGGGCTGAAACCAAATGTCTCAGGGAACCAGAAAAGGAAGCAGGGGCTCCATTTTTGCCGGCCCTATTTTAAGTCTGAAGTAGGCAGCAGGGAGAAACGCTCATTATCACACAATTCTGATTACAGGCTGAACCACAACTGCGGACTTGATTACTATCACACAAAAGTTTTTGGTATGTTTTTCTTTTTTTCTGCTTTGTTTTTTGTTTGTGGCAGTCCCAAAGTACCATATACACACATCCTCTTGAGGCTTGGGTTGGGACAAACAGAGTTCTTGGCTTTGGGTATTTGGCTGGGGTGGGGGTGGGGATGGGGTGAGGAGGGTGGAGGTGGGGTAGGGAGGATGGGGGAACAACTCTGATTTTTTAAAAAATGGTCTCAATCAACACTTTCCCAAATCTCTGTTACTCTAACTCTTGCCCTTAACAAGGTCATGAAGAGATGACTGGATCAAGGAATGTCCTGATCCCAGGTTATACAGTGTAGAAGTCACAAACCCTGGTCAGTCCTTCTCATTAAACTTCTGGGCTTTATTTATTTTTTTAATACGACCATTACATATTACACAAAAATAAAAGTCAAATGAACTTGGTATTTATAAATTATTAAATAAAAATACAGGAATATATATATTTATATTTATAGAGCTTTTTCTTCTAAACTAACCAAATCTGTTCTGCCGTTTTATGATTTAAAAAAGTAAAATAGTGTATGTATGCCCTAGAATAAGTGGGGAGTGGGATTAATAATCGCAGGACCAAGTTGCCCTACTTCTGCTCCTTCCTTGGCCTAAGCAAAGTCCCTATTTGTCCCTTTGGGCTCTGGAGAGCAAGAAACACCCTCTCCACCTATTTAATCTTTGAAAAATGGCAATTACATTTGTTTCCCTTATTTTTTAAAAAATGAAATAGATTTAAAAATTGGGAGCCATACTCAGCCTTCTTGGCCAAGAGCTAATCCCAAGAAACTATATGGCTCTAGAAGAGTCCCTAGTTTTCCCTGACAGAAGAGTCTCTGGGGTTTCCATTGCCCTTCAAGCTAAGAAAGGACAGGATAGATCAAAACTGCCCACTGTGGTCCCATGTAAGCTATGCTTCTGGGAATCCAGACCAAGCCCTTTACCCTTTCAGAAAACAGCCTCTCTTTCCATCCAGGTGTGAAGGCCTCAGAGCAGGGCATTTTGGTAACCTGACCATGGTCCTTGCTGCCCCTGTTTGCTAAAGGCGCCCAGGAATGCTAACAAGGATAGGCGTCCTAGTGGTAGAGGGTAGGGTGAAGAGTCCGCTCCAAACTTGGGGAAGCACCGGCTCCAACTTGGAGCTGATGGTCTAGTCAGTGGTTTTCCAACTTTTTTCCAGCAGCAAACCCCTTAATGCAAATAAAATCTTACCCTGAACCCCGATACGTAAGACAGCTACACGGGGAGCTGTTCTTTTTGAGGGCAAATTGCCCAGCATGTTCAGCCCCCTACCCCCTTCATCTCCCCAAGGACTCCTGAGGCAACCCCTGGGAAACTTTGGGGCTCTGCCAAGCAGTTTGAAAACCACTGGCCTAATTTGTCCTGAGCAAGTCAGAGGCCCCCCCACCCCAACTGCTTGCCACAGACTGGCTCTGAGTTTCTGGTATCAGCATACTCATGACAGACCGAGTGGCACATGCAGTCTACCATCTCCCCTATAAATACCATTAAAAAGTGCAGCCCTCACTCAAAAGCAAAAGTCTGGACTAAACACCTGAGGCCATTTGGTCCCACATTCTAGCAAGCACAACTATGTTGCCACATTCTGGGACCAAGTGAAAATCTCCAAGAAGAGTCAACCATGGTCTAGCTAAGCTGATCAGTGCTCAGGATGACGGGCAGGGTTCTAGAGCACTGTGTCTGAAGTCAACACTGGAGAGCAGCAATTTTAGCACCTTGGAAAGTGCAGCAGTGAGGTCTGGCTCAGGGCATGTATCTGGAGTGAATCATTTTTTTCCTCAAAAGAAAAAGCTGTAATTGGAATCTGTTCTAGAGGACTATGAGTTCTAAAGTTAACATCCTCAGACTCCAAGGTACAGACAAGTAACATCCATGCAAACAGTGTGGCTTCAAAGAAAACATAAGTGCTTCTAGGTCATGATAGGTACTCTAGAACCCATACTCCTGCCCCTGATAAAGCAGCACCAAAGCCCACAACACAGAACAGGCCACTCACAGAGTATCCGTCACCCTCAAACCCATGGGGATCAGAGCTGCATGGTCCTCTCAAGGCATCAGCAGTCTCACACAGTGCAGGACCCAGGTGGTATTCTAGACTAGCATTTATGTCCACACCCTCTAAAGGAAAATTAGAGCCCCAACTTAGAATTTCAGTTTGGGTACAGAGGTCCTAGAGAAAGGGAATATGTTAGGCACCATTGTGCCCCAGTGGGAGGGGAGGGCAGCAGGCAGATCCAGCTACCAAAGCCTCCACTCACCGAGGCTCCACAGCCCTGCCCTGCTGTCAGAGCCCGGGAGGCAGCAGCAAGTGCGTGATGCACAAGAAAGGGGGATGATGAAGAAGCAAGGCCAGCTGCAGAGCTGCTCTTCTCTCCAAAGCCCTGCTAATGACTTTCTGCAGAGAAGTACCAGAGCCCTCTGTGGGCACAGTGTTTCCTCCTGAGCCTTGAGGCATCAGCGCAAGGGGAGGGGGAGGGAGGGGGAGGGAGGAGGGGCAGAGAACTGCCTCTTGTTCTTGCCACTGCAAAAGGAATGTTTTCTCCTTGAAGAATCCCACCAACACCAGATTAGACAAGCGGCCCAGCATGCACAAGAGCATGAGTGCACATGCACGCACGTGTCCAAGCAGCCCACTGTCACAGCCACCTCTCCCTATTACCCAAGAACCCCAAGCTTCCATTCTAAAGGAGTGTGCCTTCTGTGCTCCCCAAATCCCACTCACCCAATGGAGACACAACCCCTTATGCAAGTCTACCTTCCTCAGGGCTGCAAACTAAGCTCCAGGTAGTTTCCTGTGCCCACACCTATAGGCATGATCCCTCCCACCTCCCCCCAACCCTGGAATGACTCCATCTCCTGGGCCACTGACCAAAACACTCCCAATGTCTCCAGCTCACTCTCCCAAACACCTGCCTGGCATACTCAGCTCTCTCATACACTGTCCTGCCACTGTCCATCCCTGTCCCGTGCCCATCCATTCCCCACTTCTTCCAAGGGCATTTCTCTGTTCTGTTCCTGCTCTCCTGGCCCCCAGCCATACCTGGCCTCACCTGGCCCTGGACTTTCTCACTTGCTAGCAAAAAAGGCCCCTACAGTTACCAGGGCCCCCAGTGCCACGGCCCCTGTCAGCACTGTCCTCACTGATGCCCAGTTCCCCTCCCGCAGACGCCGTGCCTCCTCCAGGGCCCCGTCCCCGTATAGAGCTGTGAACTCCGCCTGTGGGAGAGAAGGGAAGTAGGAGAGAAAGGAGAAAGGGATATCAGGAGAGGAAGGAGTGGAGAGAAGAGGAGAGGAAGAGTTCCAGTTCCATCCACTGCGAGCACTACCCCACACCCAGTTCCTCTCCAGCCAAAGCTCTACTGGCTGCCAGCCCTTCTGATCTCCCCATGTGCAGCACCCCCCGTGCTGAGCACCTGGCTCATTTGCCCTCTCTGCTTCAAGAGAGCCCCATCCTTTCCTTGGAGAAAAATTCTGCTCAAGACTATCATCCTTTGCTAAGGTTTGCCTGACCACCACCCATTCCTGACCCCGCACCCCCACCCATCCGTGACCCCCCACCGGGATCAGAGCTGCATGGTCCTCTCAAGGCATCAGCAGTCTCACACAGTGCAGGACCCAGGTGGTATTCTAGACTAGCATTTATGTCCACACCCTCTAAATGGTGGAGGCTCGTGCTGAGCACCTGGCTCATTTGCCCTCTCTGCTTCAAGAGAGCCCCATCCTTTCCTTGGAGAAAAATTCTGCTCAAGACTATCATCCTTTGCTAAGGTTTGCCTGACCACCACCCATTCCTGACCCCGCACCCCCACCCATCCGTGACCCCCCACCCCCACCCCATGCCATATACTCAAGTGTAAAAAGTTCCTGACACCATTTCCCTGCAGGAAAATTTCTTTGGGTACTGTGTATTCTGTCCTCTGCTTGGGACCGTGAGCCCAGCCAGTGATTACTGCATGGCAGCCCTGGAGTGCAGAGTCTAGTGTGATGCCCACAGTGAGGGCACTTCTCAGTCTGATTCCACCCAAGCAGGCAGACTCAGCCCCATGCCTCACTCCCAACACAGCCTCCCCAGCCTCCAATCAGAGCTCCCATCTTCCCCCTGGAGACCAGCTTTGCAGAGGGACGTGGAGAGCAGCAATTGAGAAGCTTCTTACCCAGCCCCCACTGCTGTGGATCCAGTCGGCCAGTCGCGTCTCCAGGTAGGCCACCATCCACTCCTGCACTTGTCCCACCAGTGGCTCCATCTCCTTGTTGACACTCTCAGCACACAGTGCGGCCCCAAAGACAAAAAAGGCCACAAGGCGGCCCCAGTTGGGGCCCCCTTGGAAAAGTTCGTCGGAGACCTGGGTGAAGCGTTGCTGGGCTGAGCCTGGGGTCACATGAAGCTGAGTGGCCAGATCAGAAAAGGTGCGCCGGAAACGGGTCTCGAATTCATCTCCAGCTGCCCGCATGGCTTGGTGCAGCGGGTCAGCTGCTGGGCCCTCCCCGGGGCCAGCTCCACAGACATAACCCTTCTGTCTCAGCTTATAGCCTACAAAGTCTGCCACCAGAGCCCGTGTGTCTGGGGCTGAGGCTGGGGTCGCCATCCGGGCGGCTGGAAGAGGCAAGGATGAAAGTCTGGCATGAATGGAATATATGGACAGAGGCCCAGGAGGGGCACTTCTGGTGGCCTACCCAGTGAGACTGTGGGGATGCTCAGAGACCACTGGACAGGAAGTGGCAAGAACAAGGTAATTAAGTTATGGTGCAGGCCAGGGCAGGAGGGGCTGACCATTAAACCTGTAATATGCCAAATTAAATGTAAAACAAGTAAGTTTCATTTTTAAAATATCTTAGACTCTTTTCATAATAACACAACACCAGCTATATGACACCCCTACAAACTCCGCTCCTCTACAGTACACACCTTTTTTGACTAGAGGAAGGGGCTTATGACCTCCCCCGAAGAAAGATAGGAAGATGTTGGCAGAGGCAGAAGATGGGGAGGAGAGAGGGCCTGAAGAGAAAGGTGGGAGGAGCAAAGGACTGGCCAGGACAGAGACAGGAAGGAGACACTCACCCAGCCTGGATGGCAGCTCTTAGGACCCAGCACTGGTGGCAAGGAGCCCCCAGCTGGGGCCTTTCATCCTCCTGGCCAGCGTGGAGCCCTGGGAAGGGGAGGGGGAGATCAGAACTAGGAGAGGGAAGGCCAGGGATCAGGGTCTGGCCAAGGAAGGGCTGGTGTTGCAGCTCCAGGGACTGGGCCCCTGCCCCCGACACTCTACCAGCTGTGTGGCCGAATCCATGTTTCATGACTGTCCTCCCGGGAAACCCTGGGCCAAGGGTTTCCTGCCGACACCATCTCTCTCCCAGCTCCCCCCAGTACAGCCCAAAGGCCCAGCTCCTCCTTTACTCCCACCCTCAGCCTCTCTCCAACCCCGCTTGCCAGGTTAGGGATCTCACGGGTCAGGCCGCTGCCGAGATCCGGGCCGTTTCCTGGTGCAGGAGCTGGGAGGGAGGGAGGGAGGGAGGGAGGAAGGGAGAGAAGGAAGGAGGGAGGAGAAAGGGGGGGCAGGAGGGAGGGCCCGGCGCCGGGTGATGATGGGGCCCAGAGATGCGTCCAGAGAGAGGGGCGGGGCTGGGACGCAGGCCTGGGAAGGGCCATAACTGGGAAGAGAGAGGGCTGCTGAAGGAAAAGAAGGGCTGGACAGGGAGGGCACCATGGGCTGAGCTGGGCTGCTGAGATGAGGCTTCCCAGAGAAGCGCACTGGGCCTCAGGACATCTCAGAGCAAATTCAGCATTTCCGGAAGGTCTCTGATGTGTCATGCACTTGTTGAACTTCTCCAGCCCAGAATTGTGTGCCTGGAAAAGAGGAGCAGTTGGCATCATGCTGGGAACTGCCTGCCAGATGCCTTGCCCTTGTAGGACTAACACACCACACGGACACCAAACCTTTCCTATCCTCTTTTCTTCAGGACCTTCAATCCAGTTGTCTCTTTGTGGGCTGGGCAGGGAGCCAGGACTTGGATTGCAAGCAGTTTCTGAAGGTACTTTTCGTCATCTTTTGTAATCAGATTTTCTTTTTTAATTTTTTTTTTTTTTTTGCCCAACACATGAACTCATTCTCATTATTAAAAAAAAAATCAAGTTTAGAAGTACAAAGTAATGAAATACAAGTTCTCAAACACATACACACACACACACACACACACACACACACACGCTCACCCAATTCTACCTCCCTCCCTGCAGGTTGCCAGTGTTAAGGTTGATGTTTATCCTTCCAGATTATATATACATATTATTTATACATGACAGTATATTAGATATGGTAAAAAATAGTCTGATCACAGCTGATCCACATGAGTGCTCTCACAGGCATTCTGATTGGGCTCCCCTGGGCTCTTGGAGCCGGCACTTCCTTCAGCTCTATTTGGAGAAAGCCTCAACCAAAGGCCAGAAAGAAGCAACCCATTCTCCTCCTTTCCTGTTGGTTCCCTTTTCTTCTACGTCCAATCCAAGCCTTGATATTTTCCTCTGCCCTTATGGTCACTAGAGAAGCAAGGTTTTTTTCTGTAACAATAATAGTAACAACTAACACACTTTGAGGACTTAATAGGTGCTAAGTGCTTTCTTAAATGCATAATATTTTATCTTCACAACAATTCTTAGGCTGTTTTAGCCTCATTTTTATGGACAGGGAAATTTAGGCTTGGAGAGGTTAAGTAATTTGTCCAAAGCCATATACTGATAAGCGAAGAAGCTGGGACTCAGTCTAATTCTGTCTGACCTGAAAGTTTGTCTTAACTTTGACACTGTATTGCTTCAAAATCACCTATTCTATTCAGGTAGACAATGTTGTTCTCAGTTTGAAGCCACTCTATTTACAAGTTCACAGTTAATTCTCTCCTTTACTCTGAACGCACAGCCTATTCCACTCCTTTACAGCTGTGTCTTTTCAACCATCATCATTTCTTCTTTAATCTTGGGCTGATCACTCCGGCTGCCACCAGCAAGGTCGACTCCTCCTTTAGAGAATAACGTAGTCTAGGCCTTTATTTGCAATCCTGGATTCTTCTAAACATCTTGTTTTTCATTTCAAGTAAATGTCTTAGAGGAATATATTTCTGTCTGCCCATTTATTTATAAGCTCCTTAAGAACAGGAACTGAGTTTTATTCACTTTTGTGTCCTCATGGCCTCATAGACCCTCAATAAATGTTGACTGGAGGAATCAAGCAATGCCTCTGGCCTGTTATTGAGCAGTCCTAGCCAGACGTTTGAAGATTACTGCAGTAGCTGTTTAAGAAATAAAGATTAATTTGGAATAAAGGTTCAGTGTAAGTCTGAGCGGCCAGGAGAATAGAGCTGCTGGACCAACACAACTTATACCTGGTCCAAAGCTATGTACCTGAAGGATCTCAGACCAACACCACAGAGCCAAGGGATGGCAGCTCACCCTGTAGACAAAGCAACAGAGTCTTTGCCAGAAAAGCTGTGGCCATGTAGGCTGGCTTGAACCTCATCTATTTTACTTCAATGACACATATTTTAACAGAGCAAGAAAGACCATTTTAAACTGCTTGACTGGGCCGGCCTGTGGCTCACTCAGGAGAGTGTGGTGCTGATAACACCAAGGCCCCGGGTTCGGATCCCATATAGGGATGGCTGGTTCGCTCACTGGCTGAGTGTGGTGCTGACAACACCAAGACAAGGGTTAAGATCCCCTTACCGGTCATCTTTCAAAAATAAATAAATAAATAAATAAATAAATAAACTGCTTGACTGCAACATAAATTAGTGTATGATTATTTAACACCCTAAGATATGAAGAGAATATGTCCATGGATATTATATACATGTATAAAATAAGAAAATAGAACAAAATATAGCTTTAAAATTGAGTCCTGGATAAATAACATTACTGTTGTTAAAACTGGTGTGAAAATGCAAGTAGGAATGAATTGTACAATAGCAAGCCTCATTCTTTATTTCCAACATAGTTACTTATGATTCTACAGTTAATCTACCCTGCTGTTTTAAATTTAGAGATTTCGTTTCTATTCTAAGATTCCCTTTTTTAATACTCTGAAGATGTTAACCATTATTAAACATTTTAATTTTAAATAACCAAGTTGTAAGAGAGTGCACTCTAGAGCTGAACTGCTGAGGTCCTAATCCCAGCTCCCCAATTATTATCTATATGACCCTTGGGAAGGGTCCTATCCTCTCTCCCTCAATTTTCTCATTGGTAAAATAGAAATAATACTCCCCACTCCTATGATGATTCTGAGCATTATATTAGTTTTTATTTGTAACACTCTTACAGCAGTACCTAGCACATTATGCTATATCAGTAGGGAAGTTAGAAAAAACTAAAAACACTTCGCATGATTTTTTCCCCACTAATGTAGGAAAAATGTAAGGGAAAAAAGCCAATTCCGTGCCCTTCTTGGAAGCTCCCACTGTAACTAGAACCCCATAGTCCCAGCTCTAAGAGAATTTTGTGTGCCCATTCATTCAATAATTTGAGGGCCTACCTCTTGCTAAAACTGACCATGAATCAGCCACAGCCCTTGCCCTCAAAGGGCTTACAGTTGGTTTAGAGATCAGAACTCTTACCCACTTCCCTACAGTTGAGAAAACAAGTCCAGAGATGTTGTGCCTTGCTCAAGGTCATACAGCTAAATAGCACTAGATGTGGGGTTAGAAACTAGGTCTTCCCACAACTCCACTCGGTTCAGGAATCTTTTCAACAGATGGTGTTTAGCCACCCACCCTTTTGAGTGCCACATCTCACCTTCTATTTAAGTGACTCTACCTAGCTTTCATGATCTTTCCCTCTTTGCATCCATCGCTACCCCACCCAAACCTGGAAAGTAAGTTTAAGAAAACGGTGAGACCTGAAAATAAATCACAAGCTGGGCATTTTGAACCTTCCAGTGCAAGAAAATGAAAAGTTACTCTCTCCTCCCGCTGTTAACTCTTTCCGTGCCAGAGAAGTTGAGGACTTTTTCAAAAGCCTGTGTGGCCTCACTCGGGATCGAAAGGGTGGAGTCCCCGCCCCCTAGTGCTGCAGGAAAGACAGATGCGGTGCCACCTGTCAGAGGGCTGTGGGCTGGGGCCCTGGCCGCGACGGCCGCGGAACTGGAGGATGAGCGTCGTTGAGCGCACGCTCAGAGCAGACAGCTCGCAAAAGGCAGAATGTGATAGTCTAGGAGCTGACTGCTAGAGGGAGGGAAAGGTGGTCACAGCAGGGCTACGCGAGGTGGAGGATCCTGGAGGTGACAGCAAGGAGAGCACGCTGCGGCGAGAGGCTGCTGAAGCGGGTCCGGAGGCTTCTACGAGGACGCGGGAGAGAGGAAGGGAGGGCAGCGCGGTGACGCTGCGGGCTGGCCCCGCCGGGGCGGGGGGTGCCATGTCCCGCGAGCGGCCCCCCCGCACCGACATCCCCCGCAACCTGAGCTTTATCGCCACGCTGACTGAGCGCGCATACTATCGCAGCCAGCGGCCCAGCCTCGAGGAGGAGCCAGAGGAGGAGTCAGGCGAGGCCGGGACGCGGCTTGGGGCCAGATCCCGCGATCACGCTCCGAGTCGGGGCCGCAGGGCCCGCTCTGCGCCCGCCGGAGGCAGCGGGGCCCGGGCGCCCCGCAGCCGTAGCCCCGACACCCGCAAGAGAGTGCGTTTCGCCGACGCGCTGGGGCTGGAGCTGGCCGCCGTGCGCCGCTTCCGCCCCGGAGAGTTGCCCCGGGTACCCCGCCACGTTCAGGTCCAGCTGCAGAGAGACGCCCTCCGCCACTTCGCACCGTGTCAGCCCCGTGCCCGCGGCCTCCAGGTAGGCGGCGGGCGGGGGCACGCCCCTTTCCTGGGACCTCCCCGAGTCGGCCGCGGCGGGCGTGTGGGAGTGGACTTGTCCGGGAACACCCCTCTCCACCCACAGCCCTGGGCTTGCGCCTGCTCATTCCTTCGGGGGTGCCCATTAGCTGTCGGCTATTCTCCCCGCTGGGCCCGACTCCACCGCCCCGGAAGCCGGGGTCGGCTTCTGATTGGCCCAGAGCCGGCCCTGACCCTGCCCCCTGTCTCTCCCCTTCCTTTGCCCCGGGATCCCTCCTCCCCTCCCTCTTTCCCCCAGGAGGCGCGCGCCGCCCTGGAGCCGGCCAGCGAGCCCGGTTTCGCCGCCCGCTTGCAGGCGCAGCGCATCTGCCTAGAACGCGCCGAGGCGGGCCCGCTGGGCGTGGCCGGGAGCGCGCGCGTGCTGGACCT